CTGAGTCGATTTTATTTGATACGGAAACGTCTTAGATCATCCTTTTTCAAACAAAAATGTTGCTGTGTTACTTGTGTTAGCCAAACTTCTGTTTTGTATGCAAGCAAATCTTTTCCCGGTTGGGGACACGGAGAGCTCATGCATAATAATGAATTAGGTCTCCAGGGCAAATTAAAATTAAAGATCTCTGCCTTTCCTCCTAAAACTTGCCATTTAGTGCAATGATTTTCTTATGGAGATTGCCCTAGACGACTTAACATTTTTACGGGTTCAATTTATATCGTATCTGTGCCAATTACGTCGAAATGGCATTTTATTGTATCATCCCCATAAGCCTTTTCGACCAGAAAACTTTTTACTGGAATTTGTGAATGTAGCCGAAGTTTATGCACAGGGAATTTTTTCACCGAAAGGGTTCTCGTGTTTTATACGCACTGGATTCAGACCCTTGGAAAACCGACGGGGTATTTATTTGCCCTAATTAATGCTTAATAACTCACAATCAAAGTTGAATTAAACATCAAATTAACACACGAAAATGCCATTTAGGCTTGGTCTCATCAGTTGAAAATGCAGGAATAACACGCTAGTCGCCTTTATGTCAGGATGTACGCATACATGGACTATTGAATTTTCAATATTTAATGTTCAAACAAATATTTGAGGATGGCTGGTATTTTTGATTATACTTAAATATCAGTGTGTGTGAAGAAATATCACAGAATATCATGTGAATGAAGGTTGTAGCATGAGTAATAAATTTAATATATTCCAGGCGAATCGAATGGTTGCGGTTTAGATAATCGACCATTGACTTCAGTAGTGCACCAAAATATTCACTTATTCTTCAGCGAACTGTAACATCATGAAACCGACTATAGCAGGAAGCTTCAGAATTGTGTTTCTGAAAAACGTTTGAACGAGCCGCAACCGACGCCTAACAAGCTCCTAACAAAGCGAAAGATATTCCTAAAAACATCCGATCTTAGATTTTACTGCAGTACTGACTACTGCTTTTAAATTCAAATTTTATAGACAAATAAAAATTTTGAGCACATCGCTCACGCGAAGAAGCCACTAAAGTGCGGCAAATTATTTATTTCTAATAAAAGTTCCTGGAGTCGTGTTGCATTTTGCAGAAACTGACAAATAAAATTTAATTTTTGCTGTATTTTCCTCCGCTTGGTATTCGATAGTGGAGTAACCAATTACCATTTTATTTGACCTTTCCGGCTGTTTAAATTTGTGGTTCGGAAGACTTAATATTTTGCTATGGAAATTGGATGAAGGAAATAGATATTTACAAGAATTAATACTTTTCATTTGCTAATGGAACGTGGAATTGATCAGTGATAAAACAACAGTTCAGTATATCGGCATTTATCTGAACCGAGTTATAATATGAAAGTATCGAATGCATATTTTCCAATCGGCCGTTTATAACCGTAACTTAACAAATGCGTTACATAACAGATATCCGCTGGTAATTAATTATATTCAATACAAGGCTTTGATAAAAATATAAGATTATAGCTGCCAAAACCACGTGAATCGAAATAAAGTTAGTCTCACCACGTACTTTGCTTTCGGACGCGCCATTAAAGAATTGTTAATTAAATCATTAGAGCATAAGAATATTAATGAAATTGTACGTGCCTCTACATATAGTAAGTGATTCGGAAGTAATAATTACAGTCAATTTTTGCTCTGATTAAGCTGGAGCATTTTCACTGCAATCACACGATTATTGACCAGGATTACTTTTTTTTAGGACTAAATCAATTTTACGAAAGTTTTAACACATAATTATTGACTCATCAGGTATATATCAATCACACGATTATTGACCAGGCCAACATTTTTTTTTAGAACTAAATCAATTTTACGAAGGTTTTAACACATAATTATTGACTCATCAGGTATATATATTCCCAAAAATTTTAATATAACGTAACCAGGTAAAACCCTTGGAATTGTTAACCCTAGAGCCAATTTTTGTTCGGTAGGTATGATAGAAAGATCTGTGGTTTTAATGGGAAATCGACGAAGGCCAATTTTAGTCGTCATATGTTACCTTTAGGAATTTGCAGTTTGCAATTTTCAGTTTTGCAATTTTTTTCAATACTTCGCAATACTTCGCAATACTGTGCTGGTAAGTTACCTTACCGGCACAGTATCGTACGCTTTTGAAAGGCCGACAAAGAGAAGACGCAATTCTTGAGATCTCACTATTATTTTCCTTATTAATTGTGTTAGACAGAAGATTCTGTCAATTGTTGATCGTCCTCATCTAAACCCGTTTTGTTCTTCCGTCTACGTACGTCTTCCCATATGCGTTCTTTCATAACTCGTCCGGGTACAGATTCAATAATTATGAGTTAAACAATTGAATTGAACTTCTTGAATTCAAGCATTTTCTGAGAAAACTGCCATCATTTCCGTATCGATGGTTCACTTGCTAAAAAATCCATTTATTTCTCTCTAGAATGACGTACAAATGAGCGTTTTTGCTCATTTTGCCTCCGAGAGATCAGCAAAAGCGGGACGGAAAACATGGAATTTTGGCATAATCTTGCACCGAAGTGTCTGATATTCAAATTTCGCTTTCTGAGCCAAAACTACTCGAGAAACCGCGAAAAAAGCAGCGTCATGTTCAAGTGGATTTTGAAACTCATAAAAAAATAGTTTGGAAGATGCGAATTTTTAAATGAGGAAGCGCAGTTTTGTAAAAACTTGCGCTTTCATGTCCATATTGTCTGGGCCGGCAAAAATCAAGACTTTGCACGATTGATATGAAACTTTCAACATTTGTCCACCCAAGTATCGCCTAACGACGGTGGAAATTTCAAGTGGTTACTTACATTCGTTTGGAAGATGCGAATTTTTAAATGAGGAAGCGCAGTTTCGTAAAAACTTGCACTTTCATGTCCATATTTTCTGGGCTGGCAAAAATCAGGACTTTGGACGATTGATATGAAACTTTCAGCATTTGTCCACTCAAGTATCGCCGAATGATGGTGGAAATTTCAAGTGGTTACTTACATTAGTTTAGATGATGCGAATTTTTAAATGAGGAAGCGCAGTTTCGGTAAAACTTGCACTTTCAGGTCCATATTATCTGGGCCGGCAAAAATCAAGACTTTTGACGATTGATATGAACCTTTCAGCATTTGTCCACTCAAGGATCGCCGAATGATGGTGGAAATTTCAAGTGGTTACTTACATTAGTTTAGAAGATGCGAATTTTTAAATGAGGAAGCGCAGTTTGGTAAAAACTTGCACTTTCATCTCCATATTTTCTGGGCCGGCAAAAGTCAAGACTTTGGACGATTGATATGAAACTTTCAGCATTTGTCCACTCAAGTATCGCCTAACGATGATGAAAATTCCAAGTTCTTACTTACATTAGTTTGGAAGACGCGAATTTTTAAATGAGGAAGCGCAGTTTGGTAAAAACTTGCACTTTCATGTCCATATTTTCTGGACCGGCAAAAAAATTACGCAAATCTAAAACTTCTTGAATTCAAGCATTTTTTGAGAAAACTGCCAACAATTCCCCATCCATGGCTTACTTTCTAAAAAGGTCATTTAGTTCTCTTTGGAATGATCTAAAAACGAGCGTTCTTGCCGAGAGACATGCAAAACGGGACGGAAAACATGAAATTTTGCAATAATCTTACGCCACCCTTTCACAAAACGACGATAATTTTTCTAATTTCATAGACAACAGAAGACTGTATTTATTCTACATACCCCCCCCCTTAAATTTAAAGCTGGATTCGCCCCCCTGATTGGCATATGAAAAACATGTTTTCCCGCATCTAATAAAACTTCAATAGGTGGAGTTATTTTTAACAAAATTATCGGTTTATTGGATTTCAATCACATCAACTGCTGCTATGCTATTTTTACCAGAACCTGGTAGACCAAACAGAGCAAAAGCTTCTATATGCAACACAATGCAGATAATTTGTATAATGTAATAATGTGGTCGCTTGAACCTTAAAACTTTCCCTTGCTTTCAACAACGAATTCGTTCCATTGACTGATTGTGTTTATATATTTTTGCATTTTTTTTATTTCTCGTTACAGCCTGTTCAGTAGCATATTTGGATTGGCACTGTGGGGAATGGAGTATAACAAATTTCCGTCGGTTCTATGCGTTTTTATGGGAAACGAGTAATTGGTTCTGGGTTAATTAAAGTGATTTCAATTGCCATGTCTGATAAAGCAAAATGCCTTATGCTGAACACTAAAAACCGATTTGGCAACAGGAAATAAGAAGGTGAACTTAAGGAGAAATCACGTTTGGGCATGGGCGTACTTGAATAATAAATTCTGCCTCTTGGAGAATGTTGCGTATTCTAGAATATGCCTGCGGCATGTTTTTTTTTTTTGATTAAACGATCATTAAGTCACATTATGCGCATATCTAAATCAACTGAACTGTACTTGGAGACGCTCATATAGGCTAGAAAATTAACTACATAGTCCAATTTATGAGACTTCAATAGAGTATAGGACTAATTCATTTTCCTGCTGCGAATAAACTGAAATCAACAAAGCTTTTCCCAGATGAATAAGTCTTGACTTTTCAGTGTGATTCAAAGCTCGAGCTTAAGTACCTCATGCGTTGTGCGTTGGCCAGCGTTAAGTCATGATTTTCCTGCCAAACACACTGCATTGGGTGGACTAGAAACTTAAGTGGGTTAAGTTCAGTACCAGCAGTACCACGCAGGAACTTGCAGTTGCGCCTTGCTTTTATTTGTGAAGTCTTTCGACATTTTATTTTACTGCTTTGATTTGTTTATGTCTGAAAGTTGGTGCGTTTCAAACATAGAGCTTGTGCGAGTTGGTATCGCACCTGGTACTAAGTATATAAATAAAAATATATGTGCAGTGAGTGATACAAAATGGGTTGTGCTACAGGTATTGTGAAATACTTCGTTTTCCTAGCGAATCTCATTTTTGCGGTATGTATTTTTTGATACTTTGCTAGGTACATACAAGGCCAGTTAGGCGCAACTTGCTTTCTAAAAATCCATTATACCAGTCCTTCGACTATGAAATGGCGATTTCCTTCTAATTTGCATTTCCCTTTCTAAGAACATTAACACTATGTATAACGAACGCACTGTGTCATGTTTATTTTTAGAGCTTGTATTTAGATGTTTTCCCATCTTCCAACACAACAAACACTTGGAAATCTTATGAAAACGTCAACTAATAATTGCAGAAATTCTTACTTGTTTCTTTGTTCTTACAGGAGATAAAATTGATTTTTAATACTTATAACGCAATACCTAAATGTTTTCAAATGTTCACGGATCGTTGATTGTCTCGCTAAAACTCAGCACATTTGTTGTTGTATGAACTCAAATAATATACAGTAAAATCAACATTGCAAATAGAGTACTTCTGGTGTGGGCAGGAAGCAGTTTTTAAGTCCTAGTTAGGCACTATTTCCTTTCCAACTACATATTCACTTATTGACACGGGAAAATAGCATTGCACTCAAATTCAAAGCATAAAGTATTAGAATTTAGGACAGAATTCTTAATGAGCACATCACAGCTTTCTAATCATAAGCTACATTATTATGGGCAATTTGACGCTTCTTAATAGTTCCGTAATGTTGGTCTCGCTGAAAATGTGCGTTTTGAGCAAAAAAATTGACGGTTTCTAAAAACTTTAGAAGGCGCTTAGAAGAAAATCATGCCAAAACTGGTTTTCAATTGGGTTTGGTTCGAAGCAGTACCGAATTAGAGACATTTCTAGCCTGTGCCATACTTGATTTATCAAGGTGTGCGGATTGCTCTTTCAAAAAAATCACATTAACTGGTCAGCTATCTTAAACATCAACAGACAGTTTGTGCTCTTTGAAAAAGGTTCTATAAACTTGTAATATATTTTAATTCGTCTTCGAGATATAAGCTGTTTTGCCTGTAGCCGTCTTGTTCCATTTTTTTGGTATTTTCAATCAATTTGTGATGTTTAGGAATTTTGTATTAAACCTAATTAGCGAAAGACAGTTCGCGGGTCGCATTGTAAAAGTTTATGAACTTGTCAGATATTTTCAACCGTTTTCGAGAGATGAGTTCTTTAGGCTTAGGCAGTTTTGTTACTTTTTTCATATATTTTACTTCCACGTTTGTTACCGATAAGAATTTAAATAAAATTTAGTTCTCTAATTCTGAGGCAAAGGCTCAGAGCGGTTTTTAGACTTACGATTATGTTGAATTTTCACATTTGGCGTCACAACTAGAAACATTTCTAAACTTGATGTTGATGTTTGATGAGAAAGTGCCTATTTAAAGACTCTATTCCCAAGGACAAGAGCTTTACATTGCACCCCGTTCTCAAACTATTCTCAAATTTTCGCATTTGGCGTGAAAACTAAAGACATTCCTAATTTGATGTTTGATGTAAAAAAAGAGCCTATTTAAAGGCGTTATTCCGCAATGGCATCAAAAGCTGCATGCCTTAACCGGTTCTCTAAATATCTCGTAAGTCCAAGAGCGCCTCTAAAGTGCCCATTTTGCGTGAAAACTAGAAAAATCCCTAAGTTGGTCTTTTATACAAGAAAGTGAGTAACTGAATACTCTATCACGCAATGGCAACTAGAGCTCTACAGCTCAAGCGATTTTCTAAATGAAAGCCAATAATTAATTGAGAACCGCATTCTCATAATCCGCATAAATTTTGAATTTTCCCATTTTTCGTGAAAACTAAGAACATTCATAAAATAACGCTGGCTATGAAAAAGTGCGCAATTTACGGTTATAGCGAGCAACGAGCATTAGAGATCGACAGCTCAAGCTGTTATCTACATATGAGCCAAAGGCCAAGAGCGGTTTTTAGCACCCGTATCTTGTATTTCCGAACTTGCGTAAAAAC